TCGTCTGTGTTCTCATTAAAGTTGTTCATTCATAAATGGCTCCTAAAATTGTTTTTTGAAGTCCTCCACATTTATATAGCATCTTTACATTATATGTTTGGCAGTAAATCGCCCTTAAAATTCTTCAACCCACCCTCATTTTGTTACAGCTTATTGTATTGTTATGTGTTTTACACACTAACAAATTCAGGCACAACAAGTTCTCTATAGGCTATTTTATTAAGTGTGTACTCAGTGAGTGTATATTCGAGAATGATACTATATTACAAAATAGGTATACAGTACAAGGGGTGAATAGGGTCAGGAGTGATTTATCATCTATCATTAAAGGCTATGACAGCCTGTGGTCTACTTTAGAGTGGGTTCATGGGAGTGGTCAAGTTACCATAAGTATACTAATGCCACATCCCCCTTTCTAGGATCATTATAGCATTTGTTTCTCTACTCTTCTTTATTTTACAATTTTATTCTATTAGATTGTCTTTGAAGCGTCGATTATATAGAGTTCATTTCTGCATGCATATTTTTGGTTATATAATGTTCAAATGGTTATATAATATTCAAAATGTTTAAAATGTTCAAAGGCCTATCGCTTCAATGTGAAAGAACTATTCCATAGCGGTCCGGTGGTTTATGTTGGCGACGTGGATATCGCGGAACCGGTTCGGCTGGAACAGGTGGTGTTTGGTCCTCTTCAGATAGGATTAGACCATCCGAAGTTGGTTGTTCGCTCATCAGGTTGAGTTGACGGCGATTTCTGCGCAACACTCCTATATCTGTTTGTACAATATAGGACCTTGGTGTTTTTGCTTTGTTCACTACTGTACCAAACACTTTTGCATTTGTAATATACACATGCGCTCCAATTGGCAATTCTTTCATCTCGTGTGTAGCATGACGTCGGTTGTACTGCTGCTCTTGCTGGTTTTTCAGCCGTTGGTTTTGCAAGCGAAACCTATTCAGGTGTTCCCAATTTGGATTGAGTTGTTTCGGGTGCATGGGTAGTCTGGTGCGTAGTTTTCTTCCCATTAGTAATTCTGACGGGCTTAGTCCAGAATGTATGGGAGTGCTTCTATAGCACAGTAAAGCTAAGTATGGGTCTTTAGCTGAGTTCAACATGTTCTTTAAGGTTTGCACTACTCTCTCCGCTTCCCCATTGCTTTGAGGATAGCGCAGACTACTGGTTGTGTGAGTGAAGTTCCACTCTTGCGCAAACCTTAAGAAGTCTGCTGATGCGAATTGAGGTCCATTATCTGATATCACTTCCTGTGGTACCCCGTGACGTGCGAAAATGGATTTCAAATGACTAACAACACTAGTTGATGTGGTCGTTGTCAATAAGTCAATCTCAATGTATCTTGAGAAGTAGTCGATTGCTAAGATGTATGTCAAGTGTCTAAAGTGAAATAGGTCGACTCCAATCTTTTGCCATGGTCTGTCTGGCGTTTTCGATGGTATCATAGGCTCTACTTTGTTCTTTCTCTGCAGACAACAAGTTTGGCATCTCTCTACCATTTCTGCAATTTCTGAACTTAATCCAGGCCACCAAACCGTGGATTTTGCACTTTCGCGACATTTAGAAATTCCTTGATGTCCGTCATGAATTCGTTCAAGAATTTCCTGCCTCCTTATTCGTGGAATGACCAGGCGTGTGCCAAATAACAAGTGTCCTTAGGATTCAGTGAGCATATTAGACTGCTTCCAGTAAGGTATCATCTCTGGAGCTAGCTTAGATTTTTCTGGCCAACTTTGCTGGCAGAATGTTAGTACTTTGGAAAGGATAATATCCTTTGCCAAGTTAGTTTTGAGTTCAGTGAGTTTTTTGTCTGACATAGGAACATGTTTGATCATCTGTGAATTAAATTCCTCTACTTCCCGTGTCAGTCAATTTGTTGCCCATAATCACTGATTATTATGGAATAGTAGTAGTCCCAATTTATAAAAAAGGTGATAGAAATGATTTAAATAGCCTCATACTAAGCCTCAGCATTTTGTGCTAGGCCATTGCTAATTAATATTTGTAAATCGTTTTTTATCAGTAGCACAATTTTTTAGGCCTTAATACAAATAGAATACACATACAATGTGCTCGAGGAGCCAGGCAGCTAAGGAAAGGATTATTTTCCTCTTAAAAGTTTGCTTTTTACCTTAATCTGATTTGATTGTTGTGTTTAATGCGTCCTTGAAGGTTTGTGGAAGTTTTCTGTGGTGTTTTTTTAAAAGTATTATGATCGTGTTATTTTTGAGCTGTTTCCTAGCCCTGACTTCGTTTAATCAAAAGACATAGCTAGTGACTAACACCCTTGGATTGACTATTGTTCTAAGCATTGCATGCACAGACTAGCTCACAGTGAACCGAACCCGCTGGTGTTACATAACCCACATTCCAGATCGAGGGAGTGTCGTAAACTAGTGCACGCAAGGCAGCCTGAGTACTCCCTGTATTCTTGTTCAGTGTCTGTTACTACTGTCATTTTTTAACTTTGTTTCTGTTGCTGCATTTCAACGTTTTTGATATTTTTGTATATAGATATTTTAGAAGATATTTTGAAATTTTAAAGTGGATTTTAACCCTGAGGTAGGCCCTTTTGGAAGCGCCAAGCAGCATTAAAAAGATATGATTTACACAATTAGCGAATTTTATAAAATTGGCCAACAGTGTACAGCAATTCCGGTCAAAGATTTTTTCTCCAGAATTAGCCATCTTGGAATAGCGGCAACCAGACCATGCAGATGTAGTGTCAGCAGGAACAAACAGAGGCATATACCTGTAAGGGTAACATCATCTCGAATATACGACCGTACTCAACACGTCAAAAATAAAGGAAGTAATTATATTAACTCAAGTGTTGTTTCTAAACTGACCAATCGACCAAGTTTTTTTTGGTCATGTGGATAACTTAACGCTGATTAACACACTCTAGTTACATTCATTTTTGTTGTCAACGAAGTCTATTTTACAAACCAGTCGAATGAAAATAATACTCAACGAAAAATCTTAGTCAACGAAATGAACCAGTCGATTAAGCCCAATGTTGGCTCTTTTTAGAATACATAAGGAAAATAACGCTCTAGAAACCATCTCTGAAACATGGGAAGCCCAAGAAATCTTGTCCTAATTCTTAATCCCGAGAAGCTTTTTATGGGAGACTTATATCCTATGAATATAGAAATAGAATAGAAATTTTTCTTTATTCTGGATACTCAGTCAGTATTAGTACACTGTTCTTCCCTGAGGTAAAAACAGAATTGATAAAGAAATATATAAGTTACATAAATATAAGAAGCAGAAAAAAAGATTGGTAAATTAAATTAGATTTTTAAAGGATTGTAGGGAAATAGAATGAATATTACTGCGGATATCTGATGATAAATTGTTCCATAAATTAACGGATCGGTATTTAAATGTTCTTTTTCCAAAATCATTCTGCCATTTTGGTGAGATCAAAGTGTTTTTTGATTTGCTTCTTGTATTTATGTTATGATATTCATCGATTAATTCATAAAAATGTGCAATAGCTCATGTAATTTTCCTTGCAGTCTCTCAAATTATCAATTCTCAATCTCATTAAAAAAAATAAGGGCATTCCACAACAATTATTATTGTATAATTAGCAACTTAGGCAGATGAAATAAAGTCTTTTATCTGGCTCCAGAACCAAAGCAAATTATGATGCAATTGGCATTTTGCCGTAGAGGCTGGGATCCAGCTGATTTTTTCTTATTTTGAACTCACTGATTAAGAGAACTCGATAGATCATCCAATATTTTCATCTAAGTTCCTAATTTGCATATTTAAAATGGCATTCATCCAAATTACATTTAAGACAGACTTTATATGGCAATATTAGGCTTTAAAAATTCTGTCCTATGAACACTTCATACAGAGACTAGAAAAGGTGAGGCCTATTTTTTTTATGAAACTATATATTTTCCTTCATAAAATTCATAATTACATTTAATGGGCTTAAATTAACCTGATTTTGAACTGTTTATTTAGTGAATTTAGCCTCAAATACACATGGAGCAATTATCTCATTAAAATTTTAGTATTCAATCAATCTAGTATTTAACATCTCGGAACAAATATCGTGTACAAACTGGTAATAGCCATCTAAAAGAATCACCCATTCAAAAGAAAATTACATCAACCTTTTATAGCAAATTACAGTAATAGAGCCTGGGTTCCAGGCCATAAACTTTTTTATTGCACTTGGTGTGCACCATACCAAAGTTAATTGGCATTCCATACTTAATTTCTTTCATGAGAAAAAAATATTAAAGGACTTACGGCTAATCTATGATAGATCATAAATTAAGAAAACAGATTTAAATAATTCAAAAATATATAAAAACAAATAAATGAATTAGAGTTTATGATAGTACCCTTTGTATGGAGAAACACCTCAAGTGATAATTAAAGATGTTAGTAATTTTCTATACAAACATCTTTTTTCCATACCAAGGGCATTATTTGTTTTATTGGCAGATAAAAGTAAAAAATAAAAAAAATAATAATTAGAAAATATAATATACAGATAAATCACCGACATGTTTAATTTTCAATTGAGGAGGTATTTATGCATACTAGTTATTACTAGATAAATTATTTTTCATTTTTTTCCTATACTAATACTCATGGTAAATGGCATTATAAAAATTGTCTGTGATGAAAACATCTTTACCAGAAACAACAGTACAGTAATATGATCTTTAATATTAAAGATAAAATATAAGCTGTAGACTTCAGAATTTCAATTATTAATCAAGTAAAAATTATTTTAAAGAGACAGAATGTGAGACACATGATGTACCATCCCCTGCCATCTTTATATATTCAGCTACATCTGAACAATTATCAAGTGAAGAACAGAAGACACAGCTAGTGGGATCAAGCGAAAGTGAGTTTAGTTATTTTAGTATTAAATTGTTGCTTTCATTGTTGCTGTGTATTACTGTAGAGCAAAACAAATTTTATCCTTAATTTTACCTTATAATAGAGACTCAAAAAAGTGAGACATCTGATTTACCATCACTTGCCACCATTGAAGTAAAACCTGAAGAATTACCAACTGATGAGCACAAGAGACAGCTAGCGGGATCAAGTGAAAGTGACTTTAAATATTTAAATAATATATTTTGGTTTCTTTGCGGAGCAGCAACATACATCTTTTCAAATCAAACATCCTTTTTAATTTCCACGTGCAATAGGGAGACAAAAATATTACACATCAGATATGCCATCCACTAACCCCTTCAGAATATATTTAGCTGTTCCATGGCTAAAGGCCTGTTTATACTTGCAACGATAATGATAAAAAGCTAAAAAGTGGGAACAAGTGAATATGAGTTTAATTATTTCACTATCATAGTAGTTGTTGTTGATGTTGCTCATGCTCTGCAGTAGCAGTAGATTAAAACAAACAACCATATCCTTCTTAATTTACAGCTATAACAGAGATTCAAAAAAGTGACATGCCTGATGTGCCATCCACTATGAGCCTTGAAGGAACATCTGAAGAACTGTCAAGTGATGAATACAAGGCTCAGCTAGTGAGACCAATTGAAAGTGAGTGTTTAAAGATTTCAATGTTGTTATTATTATATTGTTTTTTTATTTTTAGTAATTCTGACGTATAACACCAGATTGTGTTTCTTGGAAATGTATTTGAACATTAACCACAGATTATTTTAATAATTGAGGTCCATGGTACCAAATTAACTAGACATTTATCCTCAATGGCTATGTCAGAAATTAATTCGGAATTAAATCAAATATTTTAAGATATATCACACGATAAAGAAATTTAAAAAAAAAAGCTCTGTGTAAAGTAACTTGGATGTTTGCTTGATAATGATATTGCTGGTAAATCCATGATTTTTTCTGTTATCAGGAAATCAATGGTGACCTGAAATTTTATATCTTAACATTAATTTTCTTAATCAAGGCACAACAAATTATTAAGCACCAAAGCCACCATGTAATGTAAAATACAATGCTTATTTTTTTGCTTTTTTTTGCTGTTGAACCATCATCTTTATCTATTTTATCCATTGATATCAGTACAATCATCCAAATGCATCAGCATTTAATAGCATGTCATAATTATGTTTAAGTTTTCTCAAAAGATACAGCCTCACAACATATTGTGATCACAGAGTACTAATGGTGGACCAACTCTTTATTAAACAATGGTATAGGCGTTGTGAAGCCTCAGTGAACACATTGAATACATGTGTCAAGTATTTAACATTATTCTCTTTCAGTGAATAAGGAACCCGGTGACATTTACTTATTAACAGTTTAGCATTATCACTTAATTCAATATCAGCTTCAACATTCTGTAATAAGCCTAGTTTGCCATCAAATAGAGACTCATGCTTCTTTAAGATCATATCAACATTTAAATCCACATCATTTACACTATCGATTCCATTAATGGTTCCAAACAATTCAGCCCAATCCAATTTGTAGGTTACATTTACCCTGGCTATCCCTTTTTGGCTTTACTTTTTCATTTCTGAGCTACATAAAATGGTAATTTTTATCCATCGGGGAAAAGTGAAGTTTTCGTCGGGGAACCCATATCAAGGATAACCCTCATAATAAATAATTCATTGAGGTGTGGAAGCAATCTTGACTTTGACTTTGTTCAGAAATCTGTGGCGCGTTCAAGGGAAGGGGGAGGCTAATTCAATTTTCTTTTTAATGGAGATATATGGAAAATTATATTCAAATTTTAAGTCTAAGAGTGTAATTTCCGGCCATCTAGAGGTGCCATAATCACAAATTTTCTTACCTCAGCCCCAACCACGGTGGGGCTGAGGTGGTATAGATTCTCCATCTGCTGAAGTACCCAGTGGCGGATTCGAGGGGACCCAGCCAGACCGCCCCCCCCCCACCACCATCCTAAATCGTTCAATAAATAAATGGAGATATAAAGATAATTATATTCAAATTTTATGTCTGGAAGTGCAATTTCCGGCCATCTAGAGGTGCCAGTAATCACAAATTTTCTTACCTCAGCCCCAACCATGGTGGGGCTGAGGTTGTATGGCTCTTCTATCTGTGAGAATACCCTCCCTGGGCCCTTCTATTTTGAATTCCTGGATCCGCCACTGGAAATTACAACAACAACAAATATGAAATATTACAGTAGCTTGATGCCTATAAAATAATTTATAAAATTCACCAAACTTCGTAATATCCGTAGCTTCCACGGGGCGGGGTCCTTGGCGGCCCCCTGGCCCCCAGCCTAGATGCTCGCTTCGCTCGCATACTCGACCTTATGAAATGGCCCCCCACTTTCAAAAACGTTTCGCCGCTGTTGCTGCAGTAGCAGCACATCCATCCTTCTTAATTTACAGCTGTAACAGAGATTCAAAAACGTGACATGCCTGATGTGCCATCCACTATGAGCCCAAAAAAACCAACCATCCTTCTTAATTTACAGCTATAACAGAGATTCAAAATAGTGACATGCCTAATGTGCCATCCACTATGAGCCTTGAAGGAACATCTGAAGAACTGTCAAGTGATGAATACAAGGCTCATCTAGTGAGACTATGGCTACAGTCACACTAGAGTCTCAAGTCTGGCTTGACTCACCGCGGGTGAGATTTTTGTAATGTGACCGCACCTGGATCGACTCGCGCCTGGCGTGACCTCGATCTCAATTTACCTATCTCGATCCCAGCTCAGCACCCAGATTGACCTTGGATTGACCCTGGCAAAGGCTCCCCATCCTACTCTCATTCTTCTTTTAATTTCTTTTTCTTGATCTTTATCTTTCAGGGAGAACCTTTGTCCCAGGTACCAGGTAGAAGTATTCGTCGTCTTTTGAACTTCAGATCCATTTATTTTTAAGACTTGCTGTATTGTATCTGCATTTGACATACATTTTGTTTTAATCATGTTCATCTTTAGGCCTGTTTTCTTGCTTTCCCTATCAAGATCTTCTAGCATCCTTTTTAATAATAATAATAATAATAATGATTTTTAAAGTGCAAACATCACCACCAAAAATTGGTGCTCAAGGCACAGTGTCAAAAACAACAGGTAATCACAAACAACAAAGTGTAAACATGTTTTTTTTAAATTTATTTTATTATTAAAAATTAAAAACGGCAGCACAAGAAATCAAAATGTAGACCTACCTTTTCATTTCTCAAAGTAATACCATCCTTTCTATTTCTTGCAAACTATCATTCCTTTTTTTTCAGATATTACCTTGTCAGTATTTTTCTGGTATATTTTACATTTAATTTCATTGCATCTTATGTTCCCTTTCTTATCTTTGCCTTATCTTTCTTATGTTACCAATTGTGTTTCTTGGAAATGTATTTGAACATTGTTATTTTAATCATTGAGGTCCATGGTACCAAATGGACTAGAAATTCAGAGTTAAATCAAATATTTTAAGATATGTCACATTATAAAGAAATTAAAGAAAAAAAAGCTCTTTGTAAAGTAACTTGGATGCTTGCTTGATAATGGTATTACTGGTAAATCCATTACTTTTTTCTGTTATCAAGAAATCAGTGGTGAAGTGAAATTTTTATACCATAACATTAATTTTCTTTACCAAGGTAAAACAAATTATAAGCACCAAAGCCATCATGTAATGTAAAATACAATGCTTATTTTTTTACTTTTTTTTGCTGTTAAACCATCATCTTTTTCCATTTTATCAATTGATATCAGTACAATCATTCAAATGCAGCGGCATTTAATATCATATCATAATTATGTTTAAATTTTCTCTTTTGTGATAACTCTCACTCATCCTCTTTCTTTTCATGATTTTCTTTATTTAAATGCTTTTCCTTTTATACAATAAAATAGCGACCAATGAAGATAATGTTATAACATTGTCATTTATGTTTTATTTACCAACTGCCTAATTACTGCTGTTAGAGGCTGAGGCTATCGGCACTGCTGCAGTGCGAATAAAATCTGCTGTTTTCTATCAGCACTGCCACAGTGAAAAAGCTGCTGTTTTCTATCGGCACTGCCACAGTGCGAAAAAAGCTGTTATTTTCTATTGGCATTATTGCCACAGTGCGAAAAAAGCTGCTATTTTCTATTGGCACTGCCGCAATGCCAAAAAACTGCATTTTTCTATCGGCAATACCACATTCGAAAAGCTGTTGTTTAATTAATCAAAATGGATGTTTTGAACGATAGATGACATTATTGTATCAATAATTGATTAGGTCTAAAATAATAATAATAATAATAATACCAGTAATAATAACAGTGCTCGAATAATTCTATAATGAATTAGCAGGAATGAGAACTTTTGGGCACAGTAAGTTAATAATCTTCTTTTTTAATGGATTTTGCTTATGTCTAGCTTTAGCAATTTTTTTACAACAATATGTATTTTCTTGAAGAGTTTAAATTGCAAGACATTGAAAACTAATATGTAATTAACTTGGCGTGCATTTCAATACTTGGAGTATGTATTATACTTTCTTATCTGAGATTAATCAATGGACCTTTCAGTAATTAACTAGCATTCTAGGTAAAGAATTTTAAATTATGTTATACAGTAATTTGAGCCACAGAAGGTTATTATCTTAACTTTGAATTAAAAATAGAAAAGAAGAGATGCAAGGAAATTTATAGGGATAAAAGTTTTTGTAAAATTTGTAACAATAATTATTTTAATCATGTTGAAGATAAAATATTTAAATTTGTATGTTATACAGTAATTTGAGCCACAGAAGGTTATTATCTTAACTTTGGTATTAAAAATAGAAAAGAAGAGATGAAAGGAAATTTATAGGGATAAAAGTTTTTGTAAAATTTGTAACAATAATTATTTTAATCGTGTTGAAGATAAAATATTTAAATTTGTATGTACTCTTTAATATTTTCTACAATTTTGTTACTATATATTCAGCCATTGACCAACTTTGTTGCTTACATTTTAATACAAAATTAGTTAATATTTATAAAAATTAACTGCTTTGCATTAGTTTGAAATAATAAATTAATACTTTGAGCAATATTGAATATGTTTATTAGAGTCAAAGGCTTATGAATAATTTAGAATAAATGCACTGTCTAAAAAGAAAGTAAGTGTGAAAACAAAAATATCATTTGCAAAATATCATTTTATAGAAAAATTTCTTTAAAAAGCTGATGAACACATTTTGTTTTTCTCAAAAATAGAAAAAGAATTAGTGACTGAATTAGTATATAAATACTGGGGCAAAGTCAAACAATTGCTGCAAAAATATGGATTTTTATTCGATGTAAATATGAACGTAGTTCTTAAAGGAACCAACAAATGATAATACAATGTCGTAAATGAATTTATTACATTAGCCGCTTTTATTATTTATTCCACATGGCTAAAATCATGTGAAAACAATATACAGTTATTAAAACCTATTATACCAATTTTTTTAACTGAGCTTAAATGCAAGAAAAGACCTCATCAGCCAAAGCAAGCAAATTCAAGGATTTCATAATTTATATATGGGAATAACTGCATTTTATATAAAATTACCACTCATTATTATTATTATTATTATTATTATTATTATTATTATTATTATTATTATTATTATTATTATTATTGATGTTATTATTATTATTATTATTATTATTATTAACAGGAAAAATAAAAGTATTATGGTTGAGATCCTGACTAAATATACAACTGTATGTTTACCTGTAAATTATGGATGTGAAATGCTACCGTATATTGACTTGAATATTGACATAAAAAAAAAGACTTAAAATGTAGGCTATATGTTATGTGTATATATATACACGTAGTTATGACATTATGATGAAATAAAAGTGGGATGATCCCACAAAAGAGAAAAAAAAAAGAATTAGTGATAGGATCATCTTCTAAAACTCATTTGTCGTAAATGTCTGATAGTGTTGCTGTTGTTGAATATTACATAACTTTATTATGAGAAATGTATAATTTTCATAGTTAATATTTAAAAGCATATGATTAACTTCCTACATAATCCTGTATGTTGAGTCTGTTTGATTTTGGCTTTTTTAGCATCTGAAGGAATACTTGAGGACTCAGGAGATAGTGATAAAGAACATGAAACACAACTTGTAATACCAAAAATGGGTGAGTTTAAAAATTTAATTATCTAATTACATCACATTAATTAGCAAGTCACTGGTAAAACGTCATTTGACCATATAAGGTGATGTGATGACAATGAATTTTACTATATAGAGTGTCATTTCGATCATCTGCAGCTAACTATTCCTAAAATTTTAGAAACTCGGGGGCCCAATTATGGTGGGCCTGAGGTGGGTGTGGACTCATAAAATGTCCCCTTCACCTTTAGAAACAGATCTGCGCCTTTGCCAAAACCACACCTCCCCCACCCCCACCCCCCACTTGGTGCTTCGCAAATTGCATTACCCACCCCCAGTGCATAAGAGCAAGTGTTAACTTTAGGAAATCTAGATATGATACTAGGCATTTCATTTCCTTGCCACATTCTAAACATTTTTTTTTCAGTTTTATTTTCTGTTGGTTGTACACCCTAGTACAGGGACATATCCTGAAGGAAGCCGTAGGAGCTGCAGCTCCCCCTTTGTACACAGTGTAAACATTTTAAAGCTTGTTATTGAGCCAATACATATTCTTTCCTGAGATCACTCAAAATGAATACTTCTAAAATATGTAAATGTGCATGAGTGCTGACATCAGTACGTTATACATATAAGCCTAATAGGCCTACTATAATTACACATAGGCCTAAGTGTGATTTTTAAAATCTTAAATCCATAAATCCCAGACCAGTCTTTTAAGATACAGAAGTGTGATGTCGTATGGTTCAGTTTGATTTTTATGCTTTTGCAGGCTTCTTTAAAGTTTAGTTTAGTAATACTATCCTACCTAGTATTAATAATAATAATGATAATAATAATAATAACAATAATAATAATAATAAATGATGGTGGTGGTGATAATTTATAATAATATTGATATTAAAAAGTGAAGGAAATTGTGCTAATGGGAAAAAAGAAAGTTGTGATTAGTTGATTGTTGTGTCTAGAAAGTAATCTAGCGCCCTCTGTTGGTAGAATATGTAATGAGTGTAAGAAAACTCATACTACTGTATGAATGCGTAACGAGCTAGAGACGAGTAGTCGTCATGCAGTGAATGTTACGTGAAAGTTTATGTTACGAGTGAATGCCATTTATTCAAGTTCCTTACAATTCTACTATACAATATAACAATTTGGCGACGAGAACAGGATTATGGCTTCGATTCCACCGACTCCGTTTTTTCTTCAAACCCCTGGGAATTCTCCAGTACGTTGGGAACAGTGGAGAGGTATGTTTGAAACTTACATGGTTGCATCAGCAGCTATACGCTACAGTGCGGATAGAAAACGTGCATTGCTCCTCCCTTGCTTGGGAACGGAGGGACAGCGAATATATAACTCGCTGCCTGATAATAATGAGTCCACTCAGCAGGCACAAGCTCAGGACGATAATGCAGCTCCTCCTGATGTTTATGAAATTGCCATTGATAAGTTAAATAATCATTTTACACCAAAGCTAAATGTGGTAGCTGAACGATATAAATTCAGAAAACGAACACAGCGCTGTTAATAATTGATAAGTCTACAAACGACTACGTGCGTGAATTACGTCAACAATATCTTGCAAAGTCGGAGATATGACTGATGAAATGATACGAGACTAGGTCGTATAGCTTACAAATTCAACGCAAATTCGCTAGAGACTTTTGTTAGAATCTGACCTAACATTAGATACTACAATGACGATTGCTAGGCAAATAGAATCTGCAGTTAAAGAGAGCACAATAATTGCCGAGTCTAATTCAGAGGCTGGTAGTAGTACTATGAATAATGTAGGCTTAAGATATGATTGTCGTAAGAAGAGAACAACTACAAGAGTTCCTCAACCTACCTTGCAACACAGTAGACCTAGAAAGGTATTTTCTCAGTGCTATAGATGTGGGGATAAATCACACAAAGCAAATAACCCTAAATGCAAAGCTGGTATTATGTAACTTGTTCAAGGTGTAATAAAGTAAGTCATTATGCTAAAGTGTGCAACTCTACACCAACTACAGTTGGTCAACTTAATTCTGAATTGTATGTTTTGACATTAGGTACTGATTTAAAGATTGTTAAAGAAGTACTGATCGGTGCATCGGTTCCAGTCAAAATGTCTGTGGACACAGGTTCTCCTATTTCTATAATTCCTATGTCAATGTTTAAGAAGTACTTATGACTTAAGTACGTATTAGAGACGTTGGATAATACAACAGTGAAGCTTACAACTTACCTTAAAGAGCCTGTTAATGTATATGGTACATTCAGAACAAATGTTTGCTTGCCAGGTTATCCAAATGTAGTAACAGAGAGATATTTGTTGTTGAATCTGGAATTCCTGTTATGGGATTTGATTTGATTAATAAATTGGGAATCAAAATTGATGCAGGCAAAATCATAGTGGTTGAAGAAAAGTCTAATGTGAATGAGACTAAAGATATCAGAAAGCAATACAGTGTATTGTTCAATGAGAGTGTGGGTCTTGCAAAGAATTATGTACATAAAGTTAAGGTTAATCCATCAGTAATACCTGTACAACAGAAATTAAGAAACTTGCCATACTCTGTAGGAAATGAGGTAGAAAGAGAGTTGGGAAAACTAGAAGCTAATGGAATAATTGAAAGAGTAGATGCTAGTGAATGGGTTTCTCCATTAGTAGTTGCATATAAGAAGTCTGGAAAAGTAAGATTATGTGTTGACCTTAGAGCTGTTAACAAAGCTGTAATTGTAGACAAGTATCCTCTTCCTAACAATAACATACAAAAGTTACTGGGTGAATTACATGGTGCACAAGTGTTCAGTTCACTTGACATGAACTCTGCTTACCATCAATTATTGCTCCATGAAGATTCGTGTGACCTAACCACTTTCATTACACATGTAGGTCTGTTTCGATTTAAGCGTGTTTGTTTTGGGTTAGCATCTGCCCCATCTGCGTTTCAAAAGCTAATGGCATCGGCATTAAGTGGACATAAAGGAGTTCAGTGCTACTTAGATGATATTGTGATTTTTGGGAAAAATCAAAGGGACCATGTTAGGACTTACTCTTAATTATGACAAATGCAAGTTTAGTGTACAGTCGCTTAGATTCCTTGGTCATACTATTTCTGCTAATGGGTTAAGTCCTGACTCAAAGAATGTGGAAGCGATAAGAAATGCACCAATTCCAACAGATCAAACAATGTTGAAATCCTTAGGACTTGCTTCGTATTATGCTAGGTTTATACCTAATTATGCAATGCTACTTGAACCGTTACGATCACTAACGCGTAAAGATTCAGTTTATAAATGGTCTGATGAAGCCCAGAGATGTTTTGAAACTGTAAAAGAAAAAAATTGGAAATGCTACTATGTTAGCATTGTTTGATCCGGATCTTAGTACTTTCGTGACTACTGACGCTTCATCGTATGGTATTGGAGAGGTATTGTCGCAAATTAAAAATAACATTGAATATCCTATTGCCTTTGCCTCCAGATCCCGTACACAAGCGGAGAAAAATTACTCTGTGAGTGAAAAGGAAGCTTTAGCATGTGTTTGGGCGTGAGAAAAATGGTACAAATATTTGTGGGGTCGCCACTTCGCACAGATCACCAAGCACTTACAAGCTCGCCTATGGTTCTGGTGGTAGAACAAGTCTTCTCGGATAAGGACTATAAACCGTAGGCCCAGTGTATACAATGGCTCGTGTGCACTATAAACAACCCAGTACATCCTTCGAGACGAGTAGGGGGTTATCCCGGTGTACTGGAACAGACAGCCCCTGTGGTGGACGATGAGATTTGCTGGTACTGGGTTACCGGGTAGCACAGACACGAAGGGACCCTTAGGGGCGAAGAAAGTCATTGGTCGAGTTCCTAGTCCACATTTCAAGCGCCCTGAGCATCTTACATTAGATGGATATGTGCGCTATATAAAACTACACTACTACTACTACTACTACTTTAAAGCAGATTGCAGAATACACTATTAAAGGATGGCCTAGTAAGAAAAATGTTACAGCGGATGTGCAAAGGTATTTTATGCTTCGAGAGGAATTGTCAGATGTGGACAATTGTGTTATGAGAGGCGATCGATTTGTAATACCAACTATTGGACAGAATGGTAGAAGAGATAACTCGTAATTGTTCAGTTTGTCAGGCTAGTGATAAAACGGCATATGTGAGAACTCTGCCTTTACAACCTGTTACCCTTCCAGAAAGCCTGTGGAAAAAGTTAGCTATTGATATTACTGGTCCATTTGAGAAAGCATTGCAAGCATACAGATACGCTGTTGTTCTCATAGATGACTACAGTAAATGGCCAGAAATTGCATTTACGTGAGAGATAATGACAGATTCAGTGTGTACAATGCTCAATTACATTTTTGCGAGAGGGGTTGCCAGATGAAATTGTATCTGATAACGGCAAACAGTTTACTTCAACCGAGTTTGAAACATCTTTGGAAGCTAGAGGAATTCGACATATTCGAACATCACTTTATCACCCTCAAGCTAACAGGCTTGTAGAGAGATTTAACAGAGTGCTTAAGCAAACGCTACAAATAGCAAATTTAGAGCATTCTTCATGGAATCTCACTGTCTTAGATCTACTAACTGCTTATAGATCAACGCCCCATGCAACAACTGGGAAGTCTCCAAACTTCTGCATAACTGTCGATTGAATACGCCATTAAATATTCGTCACGCAAGTATTGCAACACGAAAATCAGAAAATCGCAATAGGGTAGAGGGTATGCAACAAAAATCTAAGGAGTATACTGATACAAAACGTAGTGCAACCAAGTCTGGTTTTCGTGAAGGAGATTTTGTACGCCTTAAAAATCCACGACATGTTCACAAAACAGACAAGCGTTATGGATTGCCGCAACATATTAAACGAGTTAAGGGTCCATATACCTACCAACTTGAAGATGGACGTATTTGGAATGCTTCGCATTTGACTCAAGGAAATAGACCTGAACTTTCTGATTCAATAAACACTCCTGTAGATTCCCCTAGAGATAAGTCTAGGCCTAAGAGGAATATTAAGAAACCTACTTGGGTGGAAGATTATCATTGTAACATTATGACATGATGCTGGCTTAGGTTTAAATTTCAAGTTGTTTCATTGTAGAAGCCAAGCTAAACGTTTAGATTTAAAGTTCTTGAATTGTTCTGAGTTGTGTTATAATGTGTACTTTAAACATGTATCGCTGATCTTTCCATTCTTTCATGAGAGGGGAGAATGTTGTGTCTAGAAAGTAATCTAGCGCCCTCTGTTGGTAGAATATGTAATGAGCGTAAGAAAACTTATACTACTGTATGAATGCGTAATGAGCTAGAGACGAGTAGTCGTCATGCAGTGAATAAATTGAGATCGTTTAAAGTTTACGTTACGAGTGAATGTCATTTATTCAAGTTCCTTACAATTCTACTATACAATATAACATTGATCACAATTATTATATTATATAGTTAAAGATTAGTAAGCCATAGTTAGGACTAAGCTGTCCTGGATATTAAGTAGATTACTGATAAAAGATCATGAGAAATTTATTGGCACTTCATTTTGACTACATAATGGTGATTTGATGATGAATTTTACTATATAAAAGTGTAATTTCTTGCCAATTAGTGGTACTATTTTCTTAAATTTTCTCAACTCACCCCCAACCATGGTTGGGCTGAGCTGATTTTTAAATCACAGTTTTGAAGTATAAGTACATACAGTAGTGAAAGACGATATTTTAAGCTTTGTTCCTATGGTATATCCCACATACCAATAAGATGTTTGCTTAAAGTCTCTGATCATGAGATTTTTTTTTTGGTGCTTCATTTTGAATAATGGTGATGTGAGGATGATGAATTTTACTAAAAGTGTAATTTCTGGCCAGTTCGCATCTCACTAAATCATGTCGGCACCTGACTCAAAGTATATCTTGTGAATGCTGAGGCGAGGGTGCATAAATTTGTTTGTAGGTGCGATCTGAGGTTTTTATGCACATTTTTTTCGTGATTATGTTTTTTGAATAAAGAATGTTTTGAGCAGTGGTGGATTCAAGAAACCCAGCTTCCCCCTAAATTTTTTTGATGGGGAAAAAAATGAAAAATATATACACATTTAAGGTTGAGAGTGTGATTTCCGGCAATCTACAGGTTCCCTAATCATAAAATTTTCGTACCTCAGCCCACACCATGGGGGGCTGAGGTGGGTAGTTATTCAGTATGTGAAAGACCCTCCCTGGGTCAGCTTTCTTTTCAAATTTCTGGATCCGACACTGTTGATTTATTATATAACTATTGTCATACTAATATTATTTATGATGCGTCTGTTGCAATTTTCATTTCTCAAATCAGTCCTAAAAACGTTCATATTTTGTGTATAAGAGACAGCCAATAAGATGTTTGCTTAAAGTCTCT